GGAAAGCCTTATCTAGCCACCTATGTGCTAAGGCAAGTAACCAAAGACAAATTTTGTCTGCTGAGATATACTAAATAGACAGAGAGCCCTCAAATACTCAGAAATCCAGAAAATATGGCATTTAAAATGTTTCCTTAAAAAGCTTTTCTAACGGAGAGGCAGGCCAAATGCTGGCAACACCTCATTTCCTCCAAGAAGACTGGTGGACAATGAAGAAACTCCATCCACAAAAGTGGTAACACTAACCACTGAGAAAACCTGCCTTCCACCTCAACTGTTGCAAAGGACTCTTAACAAGAGGACACTGGAATGGACTTCCATGTTGCCCAAGGCCAGTGGTAGCCGAGTCTTCCTAAAGCTCCTAATCCCCGGGATCTCCCAGGGCTTTGTAGGCCCAGTGCTAATAGCAGAAGGCAGGTGTCTAAAGCCTCTGCCCTCAAGAACTATGGAGGACTCTGGGAGTGGCTGTCCATGTGGCCAGCTACTAAGTCTCTGTTATTCTCTAATCATTAATTCAGGTAAAATTTTATCCTTCTCAAGAACTCTGGTATAGTTTTACAGCTAGTAGATTTCAGTATAACTTATTACATTCCTTTGTTTAAAAAAGATGTTTTAAAGTATTAAGTTTATGTAAGAACATAAAAGCTTAAGATGTAGGAATCTAAGTGTTTAAGGTATCACAAAATGTACAAATACAAGTTATCAGATTTCTTTCTCATGATGCTACTGTTCATAGTCTTAACATTAATCAACAAAGTTTAGTAAGCTATTAACCCTATTCTTACAGAGTGCAAAACAGCAAACTATACCACTATACAATAACTGCAAGCTCAAAATTAAAGTGCTTTTCATTGTGCTAAAACTATCTGTCAGTTTTGGCTCCAAAGCAATACAGAGAAACCCTGTCTTTAAAAAAAAACTGTCAGTTTTTAAGAGTGTTAATGCTTTCAACCAAATCATTTCTGACATGAGTATACTGCCACTTCTGTAATGCAAATAGCAGTCCAGATTACAAACAACAAAAATGCTAGTTTATCTTTTCCCACAGAAGTATTGTAAGTTCTAGGGAGCCGAATTTGACCCACCCAAACAGGTCAGATTCACTCCAGATAAATATTATTCAACCTTTCCCTGGTCCCAGGACTCCCTTCTCTCATCTTGGAATCCCCTTGAAAACCCCTCCCTCATCTTATGATTCTCCTCCCCTCAAGTTCCAGGACCTAAGAAAAAAAATTTCCTTAAACTTAACCTTGTTCTCTGCTCTGCCAACATCTTGCCAGGTCTAAGAGGCACTAGAGAGTTCCATATAGTCTGAATTGCAATGAAACAACCAGCTAACCTAGGACATGGCAGCACCCCAGCTTTTACAGGTCCCTTATAGATGGTCGGTGCCCAGGTCAGCAGGGAGTAGTCTTGAGAACTCGCTGCCCTTATTCTCCAACCTGCCATGCCTAACTCTTCCCCTTTTAATAATAAATAAAGGTGGGCCACAATGTAAGGATTCAGACATTATGCTGGCCTGCCCCTGTCACCTGGCAGAATGCAATCAAATAGTACTCTGGTCAGTCCAGGGTTCCATAATTGCATAGTCTGCATGCAGGTGCAAAGGACCCCTTTAAAAGAAAGACCCCCCCCACCCACTTATGCTCTTTTTCTCTTTCCTGTTGATCCCCTGGAGGAGACAGGAGCAGACAGAACATTTCCTGTCTCCCTCTTCTCTTCTGTCCTGTATCTTTACCTCATTTTCTTATTTCCCCTTCAATAAAACTTTCAATATGAGTCACTTCTACAGGTCTGACTCCCCACCCACCTGCTGTCCATCTCCTACCCCAGAACTGCCATCCTCATGGTCGCACAAGGACCTGCTACCTGTGGTCCCAACCCTAACAGGCATGACTCAAAACCTCAGATCCTTTTTATCATCAATAGCCTATGGAACACATATACGGTGGCTCATTTATCCACTCAGCAGCTGTAAGACATTAGGCCTTCTCTAAGTTGGGGCAATTGTTACTCAATATGCCCTCATTGCACAGGCTTTTGTGTGAACATGTTTTCACTGGTCTTGGATCAACTCCTGGGATTGATGTCACAGTGTCAGAAACATAAATGTGTGACTGAATAAACATTTGCAGAGCTGTGTTCCAAAGCAACCCTACCATGCTACTCACATAATATCCTTGACACCAGTTAGGATTGTTGGTTTTCTTTGACACTAGTGTGAGGCATGTGCCTATGTCACAGTGTGCAAATGGAGATCAGAGGACAAGATTTGAAAATGTGCTCTCTTTCCAACATATGGCATGGAATCTAAAGTCCAACTCCAGTTGTCAGGTTTTGTGACAAGCACCATTACACACTGAGCCATCTCAGGAGTTGCTTTTATTTGAGTGTTTCTGATCCTGTACAGTTTTTTTTCCTAGAACAAACAGTGCCACAATAACTCCTCATAAATAGGCCCTTTTCTATTAGCTACTTAAATCTCTATAACATACACTGAGAACAAGAGCAAGTAAGTTAAAGTGTGAGGAAGGCTGTTTGCTCTGGTCAAACAACCTCTGGAAAGTGGTGTCAATTAGCTCACCTACCAGTTAGCTTTGGCATTGCCTGCCTTCCACATCCTCACCAACAGTGTTCGATGTGAACAAATATTTTGCCTGTCTATTTTAAGTTCTTATTATTTAAAGAGCTGGGATCTCATGTTACTGTTGTGTGACTTTCCTAAGGAGATGTAAAAAATATGTCTATTCATCCCAAATAGTGAAGAAAATGGACCAAAGACAGATTTCATTGAACCCAGCTTGGTGAGTATATCTGACTTTACTAGGATTACTCACAGGAACATGGGTGACTAAGGCAGCTGCACCACTGCAAAGTCTCACCCTTTGGTCATTTTTTTAACCTTTGACATATTTTATCACTTCCAAGATTCAATGTAGCTGGAGAAGGTATAACTGTTTATTTTGTTACCATGGCTGCAGTCTTCTGTAAATCACCATAGTGCCCTGCTTCATGATGAAGATATAATCATGACATGTCCACAGGAAACAGCAGCACTATGATTGCCCTGGGTGACTCTGAGCTCCTGGCTCAAGTAATCCCCTTGATGACTCACAGCATATGATTACATGCAAAGTAGTTGGTGCTATACACAGGCTACCACATTCAACAAAATTATGCTTTTAAAGAAAAATTTGAGATGTGTCTATTTTTGGTGAGCATAGTGATGGATGTCAATTCATGAATGCATGACCATTACAATCAGCCAGTCACATTCTGCTTTGCCTCTGAAATTCCTCATCAGCACATTCAGCGGTGCTGTTCTCACCTGCAGAATGTAGTTAGTCTTTTTAATTTCCTGAGCTGATGACTAGACACTTGGGCTCTGTGGTTTCACAAAACAGGAAAAACTGAATGAGACCTTTCTGAGGTTACTGAACTGATTTACATTAGACTAGTCTAAAATGACAATAAATTCCTCTAGAGTTTTAATTTTAAGTGTCTTCCTCTGTTGCTTTCTACCTTTTATACTGTGGCAAAATTTCTCACTTGAACTCAGAGCTTGTTAATTTGGCTAGTCTAGTTAGACACATTTCCTGGGGAGCCTCCATCTCTGCCTCCCAAGTGCTAAAGTTTAAGGTAAACACAAACCAGCGTTTACATGGGTGCTGGGATCTAAACTCAGCCCTTTGGACTTCTGCAGTGAGCACTTTACTCACTGATCCATTCCTTTGCACTGATTTCAAACTTTTAAAACTGTTACCCACTTTAAGAAATATCTCAGGAGCATGTATGCTGATGCACAACTGTCATCCCACAACTTGGGAGGAGTGCCAATTCAAAGACACCCTTTGTCTTTCAATGCCAACCTTAGGAAGGAACAATGCCAACCTTAGGAAGAACACAAGGTATCTTCCTGAGACAAATTTAGTAACAAAAACGAATTGTACCAGTATGGTGCCACTCACTGATAAAATCCCAGCACTCTCAGACAGAGGCAGGAAGAAACTGTTAGTTCAGTGCTAGCCTGGGCTGCAGAGTGAATACACAGACAGCCTGGACCATACAATGATTCTTTTAAAGTCTATACTTCCTATTACATTTCACTTGCTTGAAAATATGCTCACTAGCATCAACTAATAGACTTCTACTGTTGGGCTATCCAGAATTTTAAGGTTCCAGTTTTAGAATTTAGGTCAAGATTGCTTCTTATTTAACAATGTCTTTGGCCTCCCTGGAGAGGCAACTGTAGTCATACTGCCTCACACCGTTTTGAAAGTATTATTTATTTATTTATTTATTTTGCTTGTAATGCTACATCTTATTCCTTTATCAGTTATTTCCACAAATAGCCTGGCGACTCCAGAGGTACTTAGTATTAATGCTAGTGTAGAGGGTAGGCTTTGAAGAGACACGAGTCACGAGTCTGGGCTTGGGTATCACCTCCACCATCTGCAGATGATCTTGACAAATGCTTGTTCACTATTGAAAACTCAAGTTTCCTCCTCTGTAAAATGGGCATCATTGACCTGAGGCATGTAGAGACTTCCTAGTGAGTGACCTGCAAGGTGATTCTTGAGGTGCTATTCCTCAGACTAGCAGCAGTCATTCACAGCATCAGGGAACTTGATAGGAAAACCAACTCTCGGTGTAAGGGTGGGTCAGAGCGTCTGTTCTAACGCGCCTTCCAGGTAACTCTGAGATTGGATTGAGTCTGGGACGCGGTACCATCCACAGTGCTTCGCCAAGCTGGGGAGAGGCGAGCAGCAAGCAGCAGGCCATTTACCTCTGGGACCACAGCAGGTCCCACAGGTAACAGCAGACCTGAGTCGGCCCTGGCTCCGCCCTTATCCCCTCAGGGCCCGCCCCAGACGGTCATTGATTGGTAGAGTCTCTGGTGACGGCTCGCCAATCACCGGACCGTAGACTCAGAATCGGCCGAGGTTGCACTTGGAGAGAGCTGTGCTCCCATTGGTTGGAGACCACGCCGCAGTGCCGCGCGTACGCACGGCAGAGGCGTGACGCCAGCGGCTGTTAAAAAATGGCGACCGTTACTGAGCTGAAAGCTGGTGAGTGAGCTGAGCAGACGTTCGCTAGTGGGAAGCGTCGTGCCTTCCGTCTGTGAGAGGGATGGGACGGAAGGAGAGCGCGCGGGATACCGGCTCGGTCTTCCCCGCCGTCATTGTGAGGTGGCAGGGCCCGTGAGGGAGCGGCCGCTGCGCATGCGCTGTGGGAGGCCCAGCCGGGAGCCGGCCGGAAGGGACTGGAGTCCCCGAGAGGTCTGGGCGTCCTCAGAACCCCGCTGAGCCTGTGGCGCTGAGGCTAGTCCATGTGTTCAGGACTGACCCTGACAGCACCGCGGCTACAGTTGGTGACACAGTTCTCAACCATTGGTGGATAGGGCCTCCTTGTCCTTTGGGGGAAACCTAAGGCAGAGCTGCCCATCCTGACGGTTCTTCGGGAAGAGGGGTTCCATCCCCCATCAATGACACGTGTAACCGTTAACTCTGAATAGTAATATTATAGTTAATGTTTGAGTCGTAATTGTAGTTAAGATTCAGTGTGTGATCCTCTCTGTCAGACACAACTCATCCAACAACTACTTGATTCCTTGTCGCAAACCCTCTGTCCATTTCACACATCGGGAAGTTGAGGTGCCCAAGATACTTTAGGTAGAAATAGACTGATGTGGCGCACCAGGTCTCAATCGCTATGCCATTCCGAGTTTCAAAGAATTCAGACACTAAATTAGTGGTAGTGGAAATTTGGAGAGGACCAAGAAGAGTAGCTTGGAAACTATAATTTAGGAACCATTGACTAAATGTGTATTGGAAGCACTGCTGGTGAGCAATTAAGAAACAGGCATGTCTCAAGTCTCCAGGAGGGACTTCCCATGAATCAGTGGAGCGCTTTTGGGGGTGGGATGGGGATATATTAACACTTGTGATATTGTATAAACTTCTCATAGGATTCAACATATTTTGGTGGGAAATATGTCAGATTAAGACTGCTTCCTGAAGAAGACTGTATGGTAACAGCATTGTAAGCATAAAACTACAAAGAGTAAAATGGTAAAAAAAAAAAAAAAAAACCAGAAAGTGAGAGCCCTGAAGTTTAAGGGTGCCCTCTGTAGATTTAGGGGCCTCTTTACATATGTTTTTCTATATTCTTGGGCTCTTGACATGCTTTGTGTCCAAGAGAAAATGTCATGAAAACTTGTTTTCTAATCAATAATCTTATATTTTATGGGCCTTTTACTTATTTAAAACACTCTTCCATCTCACCTAGATCTTTCTGAGAGATAGAGTTCATTACCAAAGAAAAGGCAACTGAGGCATGGGTTAGGAATATGCCCACCAAGACATGAAGGATATGCTACATTTCCCAATTCCAGCTTCATTACTTTTCATTTTCTGCTAAGTTTGAGGCTGTACTGTGTGTACTTCAGAGTAATTGGGACATGATGCTTGCCAGTAGAAAAGAATCTCTCCATTAAATTTCCAAAGATGGAACTAGAGAACAGGGGTTGTGTTATGATCCTAAGAGTATGATAAAGCTTTCCTTTTATGGGTCTATTATAAAGTATAATTGGTTGACAACTGTAGTTAGTATACCTGCAGAAAGGTTGAAGGAATGAATGAATGCTGTAAAAACAAAGGAGAGACAAGTCTAAGAGTGTATATCTTCAATCATACGACCAAGGATGTTGTTATTTACCAAAGCTAGGAACTTTGCTGTATGTACCTAAATGGATAAACTGTTTCATGAATTTTATTGTGGCATCTTAATAATGCTTTTACCTCTGGCATAGCAAAGTGCATAGTTAAACTACACTTTTGCTGGGCAGTGGGGGTGAATAGCTTTAGTCTCAGCACTCGGGAGGCAGATGCAGGTAGATCTCTGAGTTCCAGCACAGCCTGGTGTGTTACACAGAGAAACCCTGCCTTGAAATAAAACAAAACACATTTTTTTTTTTTAACCAATAGTGTAAGGCATTATTGTTAATACGTTTGTAACATGCAGTGAGCTCTTGCTATATTCTAGGCATTATATTGATTCTCTTGAGTTGCCATTTAGCCACAGAAGACTATTTGAAGAAGTAAGTTTCCGGATTACTGTTAAGGGATGGTACCTTTTTAAAAATTGATTCTTTGTAGATTTCATGTCACACATCCCAGTCCAATTCATTTCCCCATCCCTTTATAACCACCCTCTGCCCTTGCAACCTCATCCCCAACATAAAATGAAATTTAAAAGAAAATAAAAACTAACATACCAAAAAAAAGTTTGGCATACATATTTACTTGTATTTATTGCAATGAGCTTTCTCTTTATACTAAGAGCTATATTTGTGCCATTTTCCTCTTAATCATTATTCTTTAGCACATTCCTGAAATTTCAACATTTAGTTTATAACAACCATTTATATTCTATATTCAACAGTGTTAAAGGACACCTTGGAAAAAAAGGGAGTGTTAGGACATTTAAAAGCAAGGATCCGTGCTGAAGTTTTCAATGCCCTGGATGATGATCATGAACCCCGACCATCATTGTCTCATGAAAACCTTCTAATTAATGAATTAATTAGGGAGTATTTGGAATTCAACAAATACAAGTACACAGCCTCTGTCCTAATAGCAGGTAAGTGGTTATTATCTGGAGAAAAGCGCTGCTTTATCCTTTTTCTAATTCTTAGAAAGCAGTTAGCCTGAATATGTAATTTCATTAATTACTATGTTATACAGGTGACAGAACACTTAGCATCCCATGGGCTCTTGTCATAGCATGAACAAGTTTTGGTGAGCTCTATGCTGTCAGGGAAAGTAAGTGCTAGGGCCTTCTACTGCAGGTTCTCCATGTAATATTCAGCACACATGGACATAAAAGATAATGATTTTGGTATGTTGAAGGATCTCTAAAGATCTAGTATCACTGTCTTATTTCCCTCAGTTTGTTATAGCTGGCTGCATAATACTATCAGCACTCCAAAGGAGGAAAAATTTTGTTTTTTAAAATGTTATTACCTAGGTATCATTCCTGGGATGAAATAGTGACAGTGCTCACTTTAATATTCAACCTTTTGGTGTTTTAGATTGGTATGGTTGCTAATACCTATAGTCACAGAAATTGAAGGCTAAGGCAGGAGGACACTACTTCAAATTAAAAAATAGAAAAGCCCTGGGTCTGTAGCTTAGTGGTAGAACACTTGCCAGATGTGTGAGGCCAGAGGCTAATGCCCAGCACTGGTAGAAGCTGGGGAGGAAAGAAGAGAAGAGAGACTGAGTTTCTGTTCATCAGGTTTGCCTTTTCCAGAGTGCCATGTAAGTGGAAGCCTGCAGGACGTGCCTTTTGACACTGCCTCACTTCACCTGATAAAACACACACTGGCGGTTCAGTCATGTTGACTTTTACCCTGTGCATAGGCAAATGCTGTGGCTGTGCCATTTCAGTCTGCTCTCATAGGCACTTGGGTTGTTTATATTTTTTGGCAGCAGTGAATCAAATCCTCAAAAACATTTATGTGAAGTTTTTGTGTGAAACTCATCTTATTTTGGTAGGTGAATAGCTAAAGATGGACTTGCCATGTTGTCTGGGAAGGGAATGCTTTCCTTCAGGTAATAACTGCCACTGCTTTTGAGTGGTTCTGCTGTTTCTCACCAGGGAAGTGCTGGCTTAGCACTCAGGACTCAGGAAGCAAGGGCAGTCTGTGCTAGATTAAGACTCAGTCTAAAAATTTAATAATTGTAATTTTAGAATTGCTATCCCTCAATGCTTATATGTGTTTTTAATGAGTTATTTAGTGTTATCATGTGTTTAATCTATAGGCATCTTAGGAAGCTTACTGAAGTCCAACATTGTAGTTTTAGATTCAGAAACCATATTACCAATCATAAATCGGGGATTTAAGGAGTATGTGTTAAGCTGTAATTAAGTTCTACATTTAATTGTATTGGAGTATGTTGACATCATAAAGTCATACACAGTTTGGTTTGTCTTGGTATGTACTGTCAGCAATCTCCCAAAGTCTGAGAAATGTGTGTACCTAGGAGATATGCTTATTACCAAAATTGAATTTGCCTTTTAGATTAATAGACTCAGTATTTTCCTAAATTTTTTTCTCCCCAGAATCTGGTCAACCCGTAGTTCCGTTGGACAGACAGTTTCTTGTCCATGAACTGAAAACCTTTGAAGAATCAAAGGATAACTCAATGTAAGAAGTTTTTAAAAGAGGTTTGCAGATGTTGTATTTAGTTCCTAATTTATAGTGCTTGCTATGAGTCATTTTAATCCAGCAGGAACTCACTGTATGTTATATACTATGTGAGGTCCAAGAAGTGTGGGAGCAAGTAAGTCACCTTAGGTCCTGCTGTAAGTGAGCTTGCTGTGTCTTCAGAGGACTGAACACCTGCCTGCTTCCCTCCCTCCCTCCCTCCCTCTTTTCTTTCTTTTTCCTTTTTCTTAAGGGCTTTTTCCCCAATTTGTTTCTTTCAGTGGTGGTAATTGAACCAGGGCCTTGACTGCTCAGGGTACAACACACCCTGTACTGCTAAGCAGCTTCTTGGCCCAGCCCTCTAGTTCTTTCTTTTTTAAACTTTAAGAAAAATATGTTTATGTGGATATGTGTTTTGTCTGCATGCTTGTTGTTTACCACATACATGCCTGATTCCCTCAAAGGCCTTGGAGCTGGTGTTACAGATGGTTGTAAGCCACCAAGTGGGAGCTGGGGATTGAAGCTAGTCCTCCAGAAGAGCAGCCAGTGCTCCTAACTGCTGAGCCATCTCTCCAGCACCCCCTCCACTCCCTTTCCTTCTTTCTGAGGGTGACTCTTCTTGGCTTCCTGATTTTTTTTTTTCTTCTTTCTAAGGCATTGTTCTTTAGGTTGTTTCCTTCATGTTTAACCCTTCCTCATTGCTTTCTTCACTCAGATCTCTTCTCTAAAAATGAAAGGGGAAAAACAAAATAATCATCAGCTTCTTCTCACCCCACTACTGCTTTATAGTCTTTTATTGCCAGACCTGCTGCATCTGCCCTCATGTTACCTGCTGTCCCCATCTCATCTGCCGTGTGCATCTTAAATGTCTAATGCCTTTTACACTTTTTCTTAGAGTCCCTAACTGGCTTATTAGTTTGTACCTAGGACCTAAGTGCATAGCTCAGCGTGACCTTTCCTAGCTGGAAATTTCTTTGAAGACTCATGTTTTCCTTCTAAAACCCCAAAGGTGAACAAAGGGTCACCTTTGTACTGGAGGGTAGATGGGCGGGGCTCTGGCTTGGGCTTTTTGAAACCTCAAAGCCACCCACAGTGGCATACTTCCTCCAACAAGGCCACACTTCCTCTAATAAGGCCACACCTCCTAATCCCTCTCAAGTAGCACCTCTCCCCAGTGGCCAAGCATTCAAATATATGAGTCTATGGGGGGTCATTCCTATTCAGACTACCACAGTAGATAAGGATGAACAGTTGAATATTGATTCATTCAAGCAGGAGGCATTAGTTTGCAGTTAGCAAGTATTGGGAGTGAGGAGCTGATAGATTTTTTTTTCCCTATCCCTTTGGTAGCCTTGAAACAGTTGCCTCAGATGAGCAAGTTAAAAAGGAAACTGGTGTCCAGCTTTATTTCCAGAAAGTGAGGGAGTATCTTGCAGTCTTTTAGGGAATTGGGGTGTGTGTTCAAAAAATTGGGGCACATGTATGTGTATGTGTATGGGCTAGAGATCAAACTTGGACCTTTGCACATGATAGGTGAGTACTTTCCCACTTAGCAATACCCTTCCTTAGCTATGCTTTTCTGTACATGGATTTTTAAAACTTACTTTTGCAGATGCATGTTAGTGTTTATGAACTTGCAGGTATTATCTAAAGCAGTTTAAAGATACATGACACTTAAACTTTTTCTAAATTTCAAGCAGATTTTTTCATCATAGGTCAGAAGTGAAACCTTTAGTAGTCTCAAACAAGTTGACTGAAAGGGGCCGTAGCATGAATCTAATTCATCATAATAATTAAAAACCCAGAGTCAGATATCAGGGTAAATGTTGAAAGGTCAGAGAAACAGAGCAGCCAGCCACTAGAGTTCTTACCTTTACAAAATCTCAGGTGGAAAAAGGGCTGAGCTCCTGTCTCTTCCCCCCTTATATTTATTTCTCCACCTCCCTAGTGCCATTGGTAGAAGTGAGTGAGGCTCAGTAAAGCATAAGGGGTTTAGACTCTGTTTTTAATAGGAGTATCATACTTTGAACCATTATACCTACTGGGCAGGAGATAGGTATCTCAAAAGTCAATGTCTGTGCTGTCCATAGAGCAGCTTTCAATGTCAGTGGACTAACTAACATAACTCTGGGTGACTTATTTTAAGAAAAAGCACATAGGAGTTGGTTGATTGTTTCATTACCCCTGAGATATTTGAGCATACCACTGAGCCCTGGTTTTTTCATTCATAAATTGGTTGTAGTGATATGTAAAGGAAACTATAAAGCAGCCTTTTATATATTAGTTACTACCAAGCTCTCCTGTAACCAAAATTCATGTGCCTTTTACTGTATGCAAGGTGCACAGCTAGAGATTTGATGTGCACTACTCATTGACAGCATACCCAGTGTGTGACCTAGGGTCTGATTACACCCTTTAAGGGAGAGAAACATCTGTGAGCTTCAGGAAAGTAAGATCTTCCAAGGTGTGTAGCTGGCTGTTACCAATGTAGAATTTGAAGGTAGACCACTGCTTTCTAGGCATAACCTTGACAAGACAGTGGATGCTAAACCAGTTTTAGGTCCTAAGAAGGTTTTAGGTTGGGCTTTGAGTTGACAAGCTGAATTCCAGTGGGTTGTTCAGTTTAGATTATTTTAATGGTGTTAATATGTTTTCTGGGGCTTTAAAAATTCTCATTCAAGAGAATGAGTGGTGGCAGTGGTGCACGCCTTTAATCTCAGCACTGGGGAGGCAGAGGCAGAGGTCAGCCTGGTCCAAGAATGAGTTCCAGGATAGCCAGGGCTGCTCAGAGAAACCCCATCTCAAGAAGAAAAAATTCTCACTTGAGTTAATTGGTATTTTTAAACTTAGAGTGCCCATTTGCCAGGACAATAATCCTGTGTTCTTTGCAATCTAGTGAGTAAGATGGCAGTTTTGGTATCAATTTATCTTTAAAGTGAATGTCTTAAGCTTTTCCTACTTATGGGAAATGAATTGATTTTGGTTTTGCCTTCTTCCTGAAATAGTCCTCTGTTATATGGAATTTTAGCCCATTTCTTGCGTGGTCCTCCCGATGACATGCAGAATGTGCTTCTGACAGAGTCAACACTCCAGCCTCCGAACAGGCATCCCAGCTGGAAGCCCAACGGAAGACCAAAGGGTAGGTGTTTCCAACCTTCTTCCTTTAGCTTCCATGACGTTGTTTTTCTCTGGAGCTTTTGATTTCTAGCTTAACTGTGCTTATGTTAGCCCGTGTTACTTAACCTCCAGAAAGTCAAGTGTTTTGCAGAAAGAAAATCTTGACTAGGCAAAGGGATATAATTTCAAAGCTAATATCTTGAAAGAAACCCCAACTTTTCACATCAGTCTGGTCTTTGGACCAATCTGGCTTGCCACACTGTGTAGTTTTCTTTGAAATCAAGAAGTCTCCCCTCACCTCCTACCTTTCCCAGACTGAAAGGTACAAGGCAAGATTATTCCTGTACAGAGAAGCTGTGTCTGTGTGACCATTACATTTTCAGGACACTTTTTGTGTGGTAGATGACAGATAGAGATAACAGATCTGACAGGCTCTCAGTCTAATTCTGGCTGTCCCCGAGCTTACATCTTACATCAATCTTTCCTCAGTCTCTTAATACCAGGACTACATAGATGCATGAACCTCTGTATCCTGCTAAGACTGCTCACCTTTAAAGTAACCTTTCAGAGTAAAACATGCTGGCTCAGGCTCGTAATCTAGACAATGAAGACTGAGGCAGGAGCATCTTCAGTTCAAGGCCAGCCTAGGCTACATAGCAAGACTGTCTCCAAAAATAAAAAAGAAATAAGTAAATAAATAAGATAGAAATGGATAATAAGTGAAATGAGCTTTTGGTTGATTTAATCACATTGACAGTAGGTTCTGAGTTGGTTGTTTGAACTGAGTACATTGTAGCTGAGTGTCACTCTTTCTCAAAGGGGTGGGTTACAAGTGAGATTCAGGCTTCCATGTGATGGTGGTGTTTGTTTTTTTGAGATGGGTTCTCTGTAACCCTGGCTGGCCTGGAACTAGTTCTGTAGACCAGGCTAGTATCAAATTCAGGGATCCACCTGGCTCTGCCTCCCAAGTACTGGGATTAAAGGCTTACATCACCATTCCTGGCTTGCAAATTATTTCCTTTTTCTTTTCTTTCTTTTTTTCTTTTTCTTTCTCCTCTTCTTTTTTTTTTTTTTTTTTTTTTTTCTTGGATACACAGTAATTTGAAAAGAGCCCTCAGCCATAGATCATCATCTGTTACATGGTTGCTTTCTGAGTTCACCTGACTGTAGGAGCCATGTGGCTCCCACTTGACAGCTTATCTGGTATAAGATGCTAGTGAAGATTAGATAGGCAACTACCTTCAGGAGGATAGCCTGTTACCTGCCCTGTGCTGAGTGAGTGGATGTGATTTTTGAAGCAGAGTAGGTTTTGTTGTAAATAAAAGTTGAGTTTTAATGATGGAAAAGCCATCTCAGGTCTGCTTTAGTTTGCATCAGTCAGTGTACTTTTAAGTGCAAAAATAGCAGTTTGGGTCAGTGAGGTGCTCAGTGGGTGGGAGGCACTTACTGCCAAACCCAACAACCTGACAGCGTCAGGACCCTCACAGCAGAAGGAAGGAACCAACTTCTAAAAGTTGCCCTTTGAAGCCAGCAGTGGTGGCGCATGCCTTCAATCCCAGTACTTGGGATTAAAGCACCAGCGGTGGTGCTACAGCAGCAAGACCTGAACATCCCAATACAGATGAAGTAGAATAAAATAACCTAAAAAATAACTTTATGAGGATGATAGAGGCCCTTAAAGAGAAAATGAAAAATTTTCTTAAAGAAATGGAGGAAAAGATAAACAAAAGATTGGAAGGTATCAACAAATCCCTTAAAGAAAATCAAGGAAAACATATCAAACAAGTGAAGGAAACAATTCGAGACGCAGTCTGAAAAAAAGGCAATAAAGAAAACAAACCGAGGGAATTTTTGAAATGTAAAATCAGGATAAATGGTCAGGAACCACAAATGCAAGCATAAACAACAGAATACAAGAGATGGAAGATTTTCAGGCATTATCCAAACTAACCAAGAGACAGTGAGTATCCAAATTAATAAAATCAGAAATGAAAAGGGGACATAACAACAGTTACTGAGGAAATCCAGAGAATCATCAGGTCATACTTCAAAAACCTGTACTCCACAAAATTGGAAAACTTTAAGGAGATAAACAATTTTCTAGATAAGTACTACATACCAAAATTAAGAACAAACAACTTAAATACACCTATAACCCCTAAGGAAATAGAATCAGTTACCAGAAGTCTCCCAACCAAAAAAAGCCAAGGCCCAGATAGATTCAGTGCAGAATTCTACCACATGTTCAAAGAAGATCTAATACTGATAATCCTCAAATTATCCCACACACCTCAAATTATCCCACACACCAGAAACAGAAGGAATATTGCCAAACTCTTTTTACCAGACTACAGTTACCCTGATACCCAAACCACATAAAGAAGCAACTAAGAAAGAAAATTACAGATCAGTTTCCCTCATGAACTGAATCCAAGAACATATCAGAAAAGTATGAATCATCACCAAGTGGGATTCATCCCAGAGATTCAGGGAAGGTCCAGCATATGAAAATCCATTAATGTAATCCACTGTGTAAACACACTGAAAGAAACAAAAACAAACAAACAAAAAACCCACATGATCATCTCACTAGATGCTGAAAAAGCCTTTGATAAAATTCAACACCCCTTCATGATAAAGGTATTGGAGAGAATAGGGATACAAGGAACATATCTAAACATAATAAAGGCAATATTCAGTAACCCAACAGCCAACATCAAAATAAATGGAAAGAAACTCAAAGCAAGCCCAGTGAAATCAGGAACAAGACAAGGCTGTCCACCTTCTCCATATCTAGTCAGTGTACTACTCGAAGTTCTAGCTCGAGCAATAAGACAACAAAAGGAGATCAAGGGGATACAGATTGGAAAAGAAGACAAACTCTCACTATTTGCTGCTGATATGATAGTTTACCTAAGTGACCCCAACAATTGTACCAGAGAACTCCTAAAACTGATAAACATCTTCAGTGATGTAACAGGATACAAGATTAACTCAAAAAAGTCAGTAGCCTTCCTATATACAGATGGCAAATGTACTGAGAAGGAAATCACCCTTTACAATAGCCACAAATAACATAAAATACCTTGGGGTAGCTCTAACCAAATGAGTGAAAGACCTGTGTGACAAGACCTGCAAGTCTTTAAAGAAAGAAATTAAAGAAAATACCAGAAAATGGAACGATCGCCCGTGTTCTTGGGTAGGTAGGATCAGCATAGCAAAAGTGGCAATTCTACCAAAAGCATTCTACAGATTCAAGGCAATTCCCATCAAAATCCCAGCACAATTCTTCACAGACTTTGAGCGATACTCAACTTCATATGGAAAAATAAAAAACACCCAAGGTAGCCAAAACAATCATGTACAATAAAGGAACTTATGGGGCCATCACCTTCCCTGACGCTACTATAGAGCCATAGTAATGAAAGCAGCTTGGTATTGGTATAAAAACAGGCATGTAGACTGATAGAATTGAATCAAAGACCCTGATATCAACCCACACACCTGCGAACACCTAATTTTTGATAAAGAAGCTAAAATTATAAAATGGAAAAGAAGAAAACATATTCAACAAATGGTATTGATATAACTGACTGTCAACATGTCAAAAGTCCAAATGAATCAACCACCTTAATATAAATCCATCCACACCGAACCTTATATATATATATATATATATATATAGGCAAATAGACAGAACTGGAAAAAAAAAACCACCCTGAATGAGGTAAGCCAAAACCAGAAAGACAAATATAGTATGTACTCACTCATAAGTGGATACCAAACATAAAGCAAAAGATACCTAGCCTACAATCCATAACCCCAGAGAAGCTAGAACCCTCTGGAAGGAGATACAGGAATCCACAACTAACCACTGGGCCAAGCTCTGAGAGGACAATCAAAGTGAGGGAGGAGTGAATATGAACAAAGGAGCCAAGATCATAATGGGAAAACACATAGAAACAGCTGACCCAAGCTAGTGAGAGATCACTGACTCAGGTCTGACAAATGGGGAAACCTGCATAAGACTCAACTAGGCCCGGCTGCTGCTGCCGGATGCTCCCGCCCTGGCTGCAGTGGCTGGGCTGAATAGCCCGGCTGGACGCTTAGTGCCCTGCTCAAGCCCTGCCTGAAGCGCCCGCGGGGGTGGCAGCGGCCTCTGCCCCACGGAGACCAAGCGGCTGGAGGACTGGAGGACGAGGCGGCGGCAGCGGGAAGGAGAATGGGGGCTAACCAGTTAGTGGTGATCAACGTGTACGACATGTACTGGATGAATGAATATACCTCATCTATTGGAATTGGAGTTTTTCATTCTGGAATTGAAGTGTATGGCAGAGAATTTGCTTATGGAGGCCATCCTTATCCTTTTTCTGGAATATTTGAAATTTCCCCAGGAAATGCTTCTGAATTAGGAGAAACATTTAAGTTTAAAGAAGCTGTTGTTTTAGGGAGTACGAACTTTTTAGAAGATGATATAGAAAAAATTGTAGAAGAACTGGGAAAAGAGTATAAAGGCAATGCCTATCATTTGATGCACAAAAACTGCAATCACTTTTCTTCAGCTTTGTCAGAGATTCTTTGTGGGAAAGAGATTCCTCGCTGGATCAACCGACTGGCCTACTTCAGCTCCTGTATACCCTTTCTACAGAGTTGCCTCCCAAAGGAGTGGCTCACTCCTGCTGCACTGCAGTCTAGTGTCAGCCAAGAGCTCCAGGATGAACTGGAAGAGGCAGAGAATGCGGCCACATCCACAGCCATGGCAAGTGCTGCAGCTGGTGCCAGAACTGGGTGTCACACTAGACTTTGAGCATCTCCAAAATCACACCTTCAGAACTGTCTCTGGCAGTTGAATAGTACTAGAGAAAAGAAAATAGAGTAAATGTCCTTTGGGTATTTTGTATGTAAAGATGGCTCTCCTCCAAATCCCAGTTTTTCGGCTCAGGTTATATTTATAATCAAAAACAAAAACAAAACAAAACAAAAAGAAAAGAAAAATCACTTGGAGCAGGAGGGAAAACTTTATATGAAGCTGCCCTCTTTTTTTTTTTTTAATCCACTTGTAAATTTGGATTCACTTCCTGTGTTGTATTATGTCCTCTGTTGAATTACGCTTACAGTATTTTGTATCACTGTTTACAAATCTTGCATGGACTTCTGCCAACATGAAAGAAGAAAACCTTCATCTTCAAAAATTAGGCAGGTCATCTTTGTACACACCCTGAAAATCGCCAGAGCTACAGCATAAAAAGTGGGCACATGGAGAAGTACTTATACAGCTACAGTCCCCATCACCTGCTTAAGAGCCCTGTGTTAGATTTGTATTTGTTTTGTTGCCATTTTTGGCGCCCAGATACAGGGATCCAAACTGGCCTGACATGAAGGAGCACACACAGCCAGAGGGCTCAGGGCCCCGAGTCAGTTCCTGTCCACCCCCTTCCATTCTGAGTAGCACATTTCCCTAGGTGTCTGTGGAGCCCCTGGTTTCATCCCAAATAATGCCCACCTCAGCAGGGTGGTACTGTTGTGTCTGCCAGGCTTGATGCTCAGTTCTATAATGAAGATGTTTTCATGGAAGATACTCATAACTGATGGTGTTTTTGCACATGTATTGAGGCAGGGGCTTCATTTTTATTTTAATACATACTAAACTCCCTGCACAGGATGTTTTTGGTGGGGTGGGAGTATCCTAACCTAGCTTCCTGAGCAGCAGTACAGCCTGATAGTAAACTGCTTTTTTAACTAGCGAGGCTACCTTTTATACTAGACACTGAAAACTAGAGTCTAAAGAAACATCCCCCGAAAGGTAATTTTTTAATGTTTAGTACTTTCTGTACACCATATCAGAAATGGCATGTTGGACTTTATTAGTTCATGATGAGAGTAGTTTCACCTCATAAAAGAAATTCTATTTTCATTGATCTCTCATTGGAAACTCATATTTTTGTGTGTCTGATTCATCTTTTTATGTTCTCTCAAATGTATCTCTTACATAATATAATCTTAGGAATAAAGTTGTTGTTACAGCTAAGTCTTCTTTAGTAAGGAAGTTGTCTGCTAGAGTCTAACCCCAGTTGACTCTTGTGTGTAAGAACCAATCATCACATGTCACAATCAATGTTCTGCCTTAAGAGTGAGTGTCCTGTGTAAAGTAGTGGGTGCAGCATAGAAACATCCAAGGTACTGACTACAGCTTTAATATGAAAGTCCCGGTTCTTTTGTGAGGATACATATCGTTAAGTAAATTACATCTTTAACTTCCAAAAAAAAAAAAAAAAAAAAAAACGACCAAATTAGACTCCCTTAATATGGGTGACAATGGTGGGACTGGGACAATACAAGCGGCCACTGGCAGTGGGTCCGAGATCTAACACTAATGCCCAAACTGACTTAGTGAAGCCCATTCTATATGGAGAGACACCTTGCCCAGCCTAGACACGGGTGTGGGGGTGGAGAGATGCCTTGGTCCTGCCTCAGCAAGATGATGTGACAGACTTAGCAGATTTCCTTGGGGAGACCTTACCCTCTCTGAGGAGCAGATGGTGGTGGGAGTGTGGGGGGGAGCAGGAGGAGAGGAAGGAGGGGGAACTGGTATTGGAATGTAAAAAATGATTTTTGAAAAAGCACTTTCCATGGTTTCCTGGATAGTGTTACAGCTTTGATACCTAGATATAAACTGTACTCCCTTTTTCTGGGTGCCACATGAGGACTCAGCTAGCAGGCCATTATAGTAGTTTTGTTGTTTTTAGTGGTTCGACAATGCTGATTGCACACTTGTCCTTCCTCCTGAGTTCATTCCTAAAATCTGAGAGAAAGGCTTGTAGGTCTCCTCGCTGTGCTTCAGTCAGAAAGAAAAATCAAGCTGGGCATGTGATGGAAGCCTGTGATATTGGCAGTCAAGCTGAGGCAGAAGTCCAGTCTGGGGCTACATATTGAGACCCTGTCACTTCTCTACCCACCCTGTCACTCCTCTACCCAATGAAGAAACCCTTGAATTATTACAGATACTCTCTAATACTAAACATACATGATTTCCTAAGTGATGTTTAAGAAATGAGAAGTAGAGTCAGCAAGCAGGATGGCTTACTGACCTGAGTTCAGTCCCTGAGACACACCTGGTAAGAGAGATCCCTCATACATGTCTGCTGGCCCTCACCCCCACAAGTCAATACATGTTATAAGAAAAATGCATAAAATAGTTATACAATGTCCTAAAATATGTCCAAGTGTGCTTGACTATCTCCTATTTTGTTTGGAAGTATTAACACCTATATATTTTCTCTAGACGACCATCTGAGGAAGAACATGGGGCCGAGCATTATGACTGAAGAGCTTCATGCTGCTGTGCAGCCGGTCAGTAGATGATGCCTGCACCAGGCAGGCTCCCTGATGTCAGCTGTGCGTGTGGACTCACTGACCTGTTGTCCCATACCATCCATTACACCACCATTTGTAAACATTTGAGCTTCTATAAATGTTCAGCCCCTCAAGATTTACTGCATCTGTGAAAAGCTGATCCATATTATTATAGCTTGCTAGAAGCCACTGTAGGAAAAAAAATGTATTGTTTTCAGGATGTATTTTTAAAGTTCTTATATTTGTGAAAACTGAAAAATATTTTGTACTTTTTTGCCCCCTTTTGTAAAGGCCATCTCTAAAGGGCTGTGGATGTGCCTCCAGTAAAGCTCTTGCTTTGCATGTGTAAGACCCTGGGTTCAGTCCTAGCCCTGAAGAAAAGAAAACACAAGTACAGATCTTTGTTTGTTCTGCTCATTAAATAATTTCCTCCAGCTAGAATTATATAGACCTGTGGGAAAACTGATTTATGTTTTGAAAAAAGTTTTTTTTTTTTAAAGAAATATCTGAATTAATGTCTGCCCTGGCTAATTTTGTCTCAGCTGTCACAAGCTACAGTCATTTGGGAAGAGGAACTCTTAACTGAGAAAGTTCCTCCATCTGATTGGCTTATGGGCAAGCCTGTAGTACATTTTCTTATTAATGATTGATATGGGAAGGTCCAGCCCATTATGGATGGTATCACCCCTGGGCAGTTGCTCCTGGGTTCAGTAAGAAAGCAGGTTGAGCAAGCCATGGGGAGCAAGTCAGTATGTAACAGCCCTCTGTGGTATTTTCCCCTGACTTCGCTCAGTGGCGGCCTGTGATATGGAACTGTATGCTGAAATAAACCCTCTCCTTCTCATGCTGTTTATGGTCATGGTCTTTATATCATCAGTGAAAATCCTAAGATCCTGTCTAATGTTGATCTTTAAACTAGTTAACAATGCTCTTTCCCCAAGAACAGTTTGCCTTCTATTAGGGGATTTAATGAAAAGATAAAGGGGAAAATAATTATTTTATTTTGCTTTAAGTAAAACAGAGAGTTTATGTATTATATAAAGAATATAAGCATGACAGGGTAGGCTTTGGGAGAAGTGCCAGGTAGAAACTTTAGTGGAGGTGTTTTCGGAGCCCTTCTGCACACACTGATAGCTGTAGAGGTACTATCTTTTTCTTACATGGACTCTGAGAGACTTAGTAAACATGAGTATTTTTTTCCTTGGGATAGGAAAACCATAAGAGCTGCCACAATTCTATCTCTAGATGCTACTTTGCTGTCTATCAAGGACATTTTTCTAGTGTGGCCACACAGGCTTATTTCACGGAACACAGTGCTCCTTACTGGCAAGAGTCACACAGTTTATCATGGACAAACCAGCATTGGGGACACAGCTTAACAATGCACAGCCAAGTGTGTGCCACAGGAAGAGAGCTGAGGGCTGTTGCCACTGGTATTGGTAATTTGGAATGTTACCAATTTGAGTTGTTTTTGGTGGTGCCAGTCACCCACTCCTCAAAGATGGATTGAGAACATTAATGTTAATACAGAACATAATGAAAGTGGTCTTTAGAGTGGTCTTTACCACTCTAAAATTCTTAAAAACCCTGTTGGGAAAAGAGGATCCATAACTGTAGAGTCTTACAGGAGCCCATTCCATGTTTTCCTTTCAGTGTAAAAATATAAATGTATCTAGAGTATGTTTCCTGTTGATCACCCTTATTGTACTTTGAGCAAAGGGAATAATGTGATGTTGTACTTTAAAGCACAGTAAAATAAAGAACAGCTTGTTAACATTGAAAGCTAAGGGTAGATTGCTGATACAAACAGGTGCCTTGCTCCTGTAATGTATGTGTGTCAAAAAAGCTCACTGCCATGGGGGTAGGTGCCTGGACAACTCCAGACCTAGAAGCAGTACAGAGCTGTGCAAACAGAGCCCAGACATAGTGCCGACCCCCATTCCTGATGGGGCTTTGTTTCTCTTCTGTTTTATCAGAGAACATACAGCACGGTTCTTTGGTAGGGTAGCAAACAGAAGTACCCTCTCACCCCTTAAACTGATAACTTCCAGTGAAGACACAGGAAATGGTCATTTAATATACTGGCAGTTGAAGTCTTGAATGCATGAAACATCTGGTGTTAGAAATTAGAGCCCTTTAAATTGGAGTATATTATGTCCATATGGTTTTTTGTACTTTGCAAGCATGGTGTATACTCTATTGAATTAGCTGCATCAGGAATTGTAATGGCTGGTTTTTTTGATTATTGTCTTTGCCAATTTTATAGTCTTGAGATGCCATTTCTGTGATGCCTAATCTGCATTTTTGGTTCTCCCAGATAATAGTAATTATTTCAGTATTAACTTGCAGATTTTCCTTGTTTGCATGAATTCCTCTGATAATTTCTTACAAATTCAGTTTTTCTCTTTTTAAGATTTTATTTTATATGTATATGGGTTTTTCCTGCTTATATGTCTGTGTACCATGTGCATACAGTACCCTCAGAGGCCAGAAGAGGGTGGCAGGTCCCCAGGAACTGGAGTTACAGGCAGTCATTAGCCACCCACCACATGGGTGCTTGGAACTGATCCCAGGCCTTCTGCAAGAGCAGCCAGTGTTCTTAACCTCTGAGCCATCTCTCCAGCCCCCAAATTAACTCTTTCTTAATGCTTCATTGTTAGAATATGTGCTTGTGTGTGCCATCTCTTCCATAGGCTGAGTACTGCCATCATAGCCTTCTTATAGATTTAGAGAATGTTTTCAATAGGACTTCTGATTGGTTCAGTATGGACAAGACAGATCCAGTATTTAACAAGTGTTTTAGCATCTGGAGTATTTGTTAATCAGGTCAAATGGTGCTTATAGTTCTTGGGGTAGTCCTTACTAATCAGGCTGGGCATTTCTGATGGTAGAACTGGCAAGGATTCTCTGAAAGCCGTGTTTCGGGGTGTATACATGTTATTGTGGTGATTGTGGTGGTGGTCAAGGTCACAGCTGAGGCTGTAACCCTTCTGCTGTTTATAGGCAAAGGCTTTGGAGCTTTGGAAATAGTAGGGGAAGTTTCTTTATTTTAGAGTTCTGTCTCTGGCTTATGAAGACTTTCTGAATGAATTAATCTTAGTCCCAACAATGCAGCCATGACCAAAGCTGCATGGGCTTCTCAGGCTTCCTGCAGTCACTCCTCTCTGTTACTGTCTCTCGGGAGAAGCTGAATATCATATCTGACTGTGGAAATCATATTTTTTAATTGGTAGTGACTACAATCTGATCAGTCTCAAAGTTGTTCCTAAATTGCTTAATTCATTAGAAGAGTTTAAAGAAATAAAGGCTTTCTTATTGTATTATTTTGTTAGCTGTAAGATTTCTGATATTTTAGGTGTGTGCATGTGTGTCCATGTGTGTATAGGTGTTCATGTGTAGGCATGCTTGTGTGTAGATGCAGAGGTGCTGAATCTCCCTGGAGCTTGAAGCATAAGCTATTGTGAACAGCAGCCAATCTTGCCTGAGCTGTCTTTCCTACCCCTCAATATTCTCCTTCTCTGTATCTCTCTCTCTCTCTACCCTCTCTCTCCTCCCTCTCATCTTTGTAGCTCTGGTTGCCCTCAAACTCACAGAGAGCCCCCTGCCACTGCCTCTCATTTGCTGGGATTAAGCCTTGTGTCACAACACCAACCCCCTCAGTATTTTCTTTATTGGAAGTTTTTGTTTTGTGTTTTAAAACTTTTTTCCCTTTTTTGTACCTATTCTTCAAGTGTCATCACTCTGTCCTCTGTCCTGGTTTTCCTGTTTGTTTTTGTCATCTTTGCTCTTAGAAAATGTGGGCTGGGCTCTCAGCATTGGGAGCAGGTGCAGGTCTCTGGACTGGTTCAGAGTGAATCTCTCTCACCTTCTAGCACTGCAGACTCACTTGGGCCACCAGTGCCTGAAGCTGCACACATTTCCATTTCTAAATCTGTCCTGACTATAGTTATGAATTCCATTATGTTCTCTGTGCAAATATAAATATCAGATCCTCCCAAAAGACTTGGTTAATATTCAGAGGTGTCAGCTATGGATGTTGTGCAGTTATGTAGGGCCAGACTAAGGGAAATGCTGGTGTTTATAATTTTGGATATTCATGTGAAATGATCAAAATGGAAGATAAACAGAATTGTCACTTGCAGTCCTATGCACTCCTGTGTCTGATTCTACCCTGTCTATGCCTAGGCAATGTTGTACTCTCATTGATTGCTTAATGAGAATCAGCTTAACTGTGCAGAGGCTGTCATGCCACCCCTTGTCACCCAGAGAGGACCCCTGAAGCAGGGATGACTGGAGCTGGCCCACTGGGCAGCTGGAGACTGAAGGCAGGACTGGCAAATCATTACCTCATAGGGTGTCACTCTAGAGGGTCAGTGTCACATCCTGGGGGACCTGACATGTTTTCTAAAAAGTAAAACCATCTACTTTTAATTTTGTTTTGTTTTTCCATCTATATTTAAAGTGTGTTGGCATTTTTGTCTTTTCATTATCCAAATAAAGAAGGATTTTGTATCTCCCCTTTTTTTAAATATATGCATATGTATCAACTTTATGTCAGAAGAGGGCATCAGATCCCACTGTTGATGGCTGTGAACCACCATGTAGTTGCTGGGAATTGAACTCAGGAACCTCTGGAAGAGCAGCTAGTGCTCTTAACCATTGAGCCATCTCTCCAGCCCCAGGGTTTTGTATTCTTAAAAGCTGAGAAAGAGCCAGGTCATTGTGGGTATACCTATAATCCAGCCAGGTACTTGGGTAGCGCAGGCAGGAGGATTGGTAGTTCTAGGCCACCCCTGGCTATGTAGCCAGACCCTGTATTTAAAAAAGAATCAAGGGGCTAGAAAGATGGATCAGTGGTTAGCACTGTTTGCTCCTCCAGAGGGTCTGATGCCCTCCTTTGACCTCTCTGAGCATGCTCATTCCCATATATAACCATAATTGAAAATAAAACAAACCCTAGAATCTCTAAAACAAACAACAAAACAATGAATTGAAGACATTCTACTGTTGCTGTCTCTTCATGTGGGATTTATGAACACGATCAGCTGAATTACTTCCTGTGGCTGCTTTTTTGTTTTGTTTTTTGCTTGTTTGTATTGTGTGTGTGTGTGTGTGTGTAGTGTGTGTGTGTGTTTGCTGGGTTTTTTTTTTTTTTTTTTGAGTCAGGATTTCTCTGTAGCTTTGGAACCTGTTCTAGAACTCTGTAGACCAGGCTAGTCTCTAACTCAGAAATTCCCCTGCCTCTGCCTCCTGAGTACTAGGATTAAAGGTGTGCACCAACCACCACATGGTGGCTTTTTAAAAAGTTTTGCAGGCTGGAACTTTTGCTTTCAAGATAGGGTGTCACCGTATAAATCAGGCTGGCTTAGAGCTCTTAGATGTGCCTCTGCCTCCCAGAATGCATGGCTAAAGGCGTGCACTACCATGCCTGGCTAACCTGACATATTTGAAACTCCCAAGAAAGGAAAAGCAAGCGTATTGAAGAAAACACAAGCCCAGAAGACCCATCAGGCCGCCCTCAAAAACAGTAGTAGTGATAGCTCACTTGGGGTTGGGAGAAGTTATCTTCTAGAAATACAAGAGAGTTCATAGAAAAACTTGAATTAATACAAAAATTGGATGGGAATAGAACCAGATGGCTATAGGAGACTTATTCAAAACTTGGGCAAACAAAAATGCCTATCAAGCCCAGGGCTGGCTTCTGGTGATCATAAATTTAAGCCTAGCGTGTATGTTTGTATAGAATAAACAGATAGCTTTATAATTATGTGCAAGAACACATTTGTATATGACTTGCATGCCTGGCTGATTATGTAAACCCAATAGTTCCTTTAGCAAAACGCC